AGGGGGCGGCTGTTCAGAGTGTGGGCTTCACTGCACCACCACGGAAACTCAACCCTTCCACTCAATACGCCACTCAGATTGGGGGTAAAATGTCAGCAAGGAAGGGGGGGAGGGGGGGAGGAAGGGGGCGGCTGTTCAGAGTGTGGTCTTCACTGCACTGCCACGGAAACTCAACCCTTCCACTCAGATTGGGGGTAAAATGTCAGAAAGGGGGGGAGCGGGGGGCTGTTCAGAGTAAGGGCTTCACTGGCAGTCAATCCTTCCCATGGGAAGCAATCAATGCTGTCACAGTCCCCCGGGCCGTAACGTGGGGAAGCGTGGTCAAGTGCTGTATTCATGTTCTGACTTGCCAGTGGAAGAGGAACCGGACTGATGCTCAACAGAGTAGAAGGAGCACCGTGTCCTTTTTTTGAAAAAAAGAAAAAGAAAGGGTAGAGCCCGGTAGACGCGTAATAGTGAATTGAATGCCCTACCCTGTCTTGCGCAATCAACAGCAGCCTCCCTGTCATCCTCTGTTAATCGAACATTTGAATGGTTTTCTTTCCCCTCATCGTCGCCTCCATGAGCAGAGCTGGTCCGTTCCCCCGATTCACGTTTGCTGCAGTCTTCTACCACAGCCGAGGGAACCGATGACCACACCGCTGTGTTTGCTTCGACGTGTCGATACACAGACTCGGCAACACTCTGGAATGCTGCGCGCAAACTTCCCAAACGCTCTTCGTCAATCCCATAAGTCATCACCTCTTCGCATTCCTGGTTTGCAACTTCTATTGCCCTGACCTTGAAGACGTCAAGGAAGTTCCTGCTTGTGAGCAGCACTTTCGAACTTGCGTCCATGACTAGACGTTGCCATGAACATCCACCCAGCGGGAAAAAAAAAAAAAAAAAAAAAACAAGAAAGAAAAGAAGCAACCAGAAAAAGATGATGTCAGAACTTCAAAGCTCAAAGTTGTCAGTCACAAGCTTGATTATTATTACATGATCATTATGCCTCTACAGACAGGGTTAAGATTCACATACGATAGAGTCTGCGCACACAGAAAACTTAGAAAAGAGAAATTCCAAACGAACAAGTCACGAACACGCCTCAACAGAGTCAAAAATTTACCTGCCATCCATCGCACATGAGTGGTGATGCAGGCTGTGTGGTGCACGAAGACTTGGTGCAGCGCACCAAAAATTAGGAAATACAAAACATTATTTAAACATACATAAAAAAGTATTAAAAACTTGAAGCGAAAAAAAAAGAATTTTTTATTCTCATTAACTCAAAGAGGTAGAGGTAAAGAACCACACAGTCAAATTGATGCAAAGTCAAAGCGACCTTTCAACCGAGACAAACACACGACAAAGCCGACGCAACACACACGACGAAGTTGACGCGACACAGCCGAAAAGGAAGTCCAAAACAACATAGCTTGATTAGAGAAAGCTTAAACCCGACACAAGGTAAAATCGTATATCAAAACGACTTCTGGCATCATCAAAAGGGATAGGGGTCAAGAGTACGGCAGAAACGGTCTCGAGAATCTGCTATCCTCCTCCACCTTCTTCTCCCTGTACTACACCGCACCGTTCTCCCTTGCCCATACCGGAGCAACCTCTGGAGCCATGTGCAATGAATTGCAGTGGCATGCGAGCTGTACACTAACCTTGTGTGATGTTGCCTGGTTTTGAGTCCTTTGGGATTTGATCCCGCAACCTGTTTGTCTGTTTGTTTGCTTGTTGGCTGTGTTTGCCCGTTTATTTTGAGCCTTGTTGGACTCGATCCCTAGACCTGTCAGCAGCAGTCTCTGTTGGCTGGTCATAGATCCTTCRGGCTGTTTTGGGTTGTTTCAGTAGGAGGAACGTAGGCCTCTCCCCTCTGGTGCTGTTTTCTGTCTAGATACAGTCCTAGGCTGTAGATGCAAAACTAAGCTG